ACCACAAAAACCAACAAAAGTTGACGCAAAATTGGATCATTAGTTCATCGCGGTGTTTCACGCACGCCTATTTTAGCAGCATTTTTTATATTACTGCGATGTCGTAACTGTTAGCACAGTAATCGGTAGTCTCGATACATTCCACTCCATATATCATTTATAATACTGTTACCAACTTTCCAAACACATTTCGATTGATATGGGGAATACATGCAAACGCAAAGCTCAAGAAGAAACAAGCCGGACAATTTACCCAAGCACTTCGTTTCCGCGTGACGCTGAATTTTTGGAGGACCCAAATAAGAATTTTGCGAACAACAAAGTCAAAACAACAAAATATACTCTTCTTACCTTCCTCCCTCTAAACCTCTGGCAGCAGTTGCACCGTTTTGCGAACATATATTTCATTTTCATACTTGTCCTCAACTTCATGCCAAAAGTCGAAGCATTTGCGAAAGAGGTGGCACCCCTTCCTCTGTTGTCCGTTCTCGCACTAACTGCAATCAAAGATGCATACGAGGACCTCCAACGTTATCGCTCAGACCAGAAAGTCAATAACACCTTAGCCGATGTTTTCAGCCTGTAAGCACACCCGACAATTTACATAAGATATGTTTTCGCAATTATACGCACCCGTCCATCTAATAAACACCTATAAGGCACCTGGGATACCTGTTCTACAATTCATTTAAAGTAGTTTTGAAAGTCTGTTGACGTCCCGATTTTATTAGGAGGTTTGGCAGATTTGCTAAGTTTGAGTTGACGCAATTGTGGAAAAACTCGAGGCGTTTGACGGAATTTGAATCCGCGCATTTAATCGAGAAACTGCGGACCAACCAGGATTTCAGGCAGGATTTTTATTTTGCAGCCTTCACAGCAACTTAATTAACGATCGGACCTGGAAGCACCGGTTTCCTAAGTTTATTTGCTAAGGCTTCTATCTTTTGTTTATTTTTTGAACCGAATGCGGGAAGAAAATATGCAATGCAGCAAAAATAATTGTTACTTTATAAACGTTAGGATAGGCCTACCACCCAAAAATGCCCTACCAAAAAACAAATCGATTGCGTCTTACGACCAGTCGTACACTCCAAATTTTCGTACAGTATGCAGCTGTAACTGCAGCAAATAAGGTGGTTCAAGTCCAAACCAGATATCGCCTATTAACATACAGACTAAACTGAAGATAGCCTTTGTTACCTGTGAAAGTATACCTATGATACAGACCATGTCTGTTTACAATTTCTGGCTTATGGGTTCGCTTTGTCAACGGCTTACAATAATCTCCGACTGAATACTTACGTGTTGTTTAACTCGGAGACACCAAAATGGAAACATCCAAGTTCAACGGACACTTGGCGAACGTCCTCAGTTGAATTTAACATGCTAACCGCCCAGGTTGATGGAATTTAGCTGTACTTGTTGGAAGAATACTAACACAGACAAATAGTGAAGGTTAAATGGGGCCCTTCACCAAGGGAACCCTGTTAGGAGCTACAACAGGACCGGAGAATGCTTTATAAGGACGGTAATATTCCCGCTAATTAGTCGAAAGTTAATGAAACCTCTTAGAACATCAACAGGATGTCAAGTATTCCGTGACCAATACAATCATTACAGTTGGGTATAACAGATATTTTTCAGAAAAGACACTCAGGCAGGGTTTTTACCCAACTTGAAATGTCTGTTATTTAGTTCCGCCCGAAACTACGGAAATATACATTGTATTTTTCAATCAGTTATCCACAGGTGATTTATGGCAACAATTGCTGAAAGTATAGAACATTGAAAAATGTCGAAATAAGCCCTCTAGGCATTCTTCCCTGCTTTCTTTTTGAATCTTCCGTTGTGTGTGCATATTTGGAGACACAACTTCGTCCCAATTTAAGGGCGGGGTTTTTGACGAAATGTTTTTTGCCGTTTTCTCCTTAAATCTATCCATCTATTATAGGTAACTTTTGATAACCAAATTGTGCTAGATGACTTAAAACGGCATCGCGTTGTGTGATCCAGCTAAATAGGGTCGTGGTGGACCGGCCTCATAATTAATTTATATAAAATACTATGTTGCGCTTTAAGTAGGCAGCATACTTGTCGCATTAATTTAACCCAAAAGGTTGGCATTGAAATATGTCCACAATTGAGTTGCCTTTGGGTAAATTAATAAACATTTAGATGTATAAAAGGGTTGTCTCAGGTTTTAGCGCTAAGTACTGGAGATCTATGTTGTCTTCGGTGATGAAACTGAGTCATTATGTCATGGTCATTCGTGACCTTATGTATATATATTCATTATTATATTCTTCATGCTTCAGATAACTTCGCAATTCACTCGTATTTTTCCTACCTTCTTAAAACATTTACCAGTGACGAACGTCGCTATGTCAAACAACCGTGGGCAAGCATTCGGCCGGGGGATTTTGTCCGACTGCAAACGAATGAAATTATTCCCGCGGACATTCTTATCTTAAAGTCTTCGGACATTTCAGGTCTTTGCCACATTGAAACTGCAAATCTGGATGGGGAAAACAATCTCAAGCAAAGGGAAATCGTCCGCATTGATTGTTTAAACGTAATGAGCCTTTGTTAATCGCAATATTTTATTTACTAGTGTTCTTTCCAAATATTTCTTTAAGATTTTTTCATGCTTATAGTTCAAAGGCACGTTTAACAGCATGTCTAATGGTATGTTCTGCCTTCTATACAAAATAGGTTTATGGACTATCATTTATTTCGTGAACTTGTTCACATATTTCTAAATTATTCTGCAATGTAAAGTTTACATTTTGCCTTATAAGGTCTTCAGTCCCGAAGAGTTCGGTTGGGGTGTTGAAGTCGAGGCTCCCAACCCCGAGCTGTATCATTTCAGTGGAAAAATGTAAGTCACTTTGGCCTAGACTTCTGTTCCTAATAAAAGATGATTAACGTTATTGGAAGTGGAACATTTATTCATATGAATTTTACAATCCACTATTTCTCTGACCTTCGGAAGCCTGTCTAAAGCTTCTACTTTCTGTAAAGTTTTATCAAACTGCAGATATGTACGATAGCAAGGTCTCTTATTTAAAGGCCCCAGAACCAGACTTTTCCTTGCAAATGTTTAACAACTTTTGTATTTCATTGTTTTCCAGCTTTTATTTATTCCGGGGCCCCTTTTTGAGGGTTCAGTTATAATAACAGTATAGCTCATACCAGGATATACATAAAAACTGCATACTCCTTATTTACGATTGGCTCACACATTTGTTCTTTGTGACTAAATGTTTGCTTGCTTCGACTTACAAGTAGCTGTTGATGCCTAACCGGTTTTGGTTGCGGAAACACAAAACACTTGCATTTTCCTGTAGCTCTTTCCCACTATGATTCTAAAGTTCCTTATCTTACATGGACTGAATCCCTGTTTAGAAAAAAATTAAAATGCGCTTTCTTTCTTACATTTTCTCCGAATTATACTATCATTGTCTTCAATCCAGCCTGACACCGAATCCGATTATAGTGAGGAAGGAAAATCTCCTTTTACGCGGCTGCATCCTGCGTAACACTGACTCCGTGGAAGGAATGGTCATCTACGCTGGTGCGTCTTCACATTTCCCTCTCGCTCTTTCCTTCAACAGACCATTCACAGAGTTAATACATTTTGGCAGATAATTTAATTTGTCTAGACTACTTTCTGATATTTGGTCTGCATATTGCACCCCAAACGTTTTTTGAACCAACAAATGGCGCTGGTTGTCTTTTGGTCCTGTTATTCGCTAACGGTGCTGGGTTTGTTAGGACCATTTTTATACTCTTTGTTTTTTATTAGAGCAGGTAAAAACCCTCTGTTACTCGTCTGAAACTACTACTAGGTCGGCCAGTGTTAGCCTTATGTGGCTTACCACTCAGACAATGTGTGACATTTAGATTGTCCGTTATTTGCATTTTAACGAAAGTTAGTCGAACCGACTTTTGTGATACGGACTACGCACAGTCAGGTTTGACGCTTTTTCCTGGAGTGGATTGAGCTGTCGATGGGGCTGTTTTCTATTTGATAAATATTTTACCAGTAAGAAAACGTGTGCATTGTTTGTTCTATTTGAAGACTTAGAAGAGAAATGAGGGGATTTAATATATTGGATATCTCGAAATGAATTTTCTCCATCAATGTGTTTTGTATCAGTTGCCGATTGCCTTACAGTTTCATTCACGGTCTGAATGCTCAACATTACTCTGACAGCTAATAATCAATGCTTGCGACCAGAGCCGATGTTCAAGAATTCTACAGGATAAAACTTTGTAATGTTTGCCTTATTCGACTGAGTAAGTGGTGCCGAATGTTGCGTTCCCACATTCTCAGAGACCACAGCATGGTTCGAGATCAGTTTTTGGTCTTGCTACTTTTGGTTCTCCATTTCTCTTTGATTTTTGCGCGTTCTATATCAATTTTTCCTGGCAGATTCTGGAGGTTTCGAGTCAAAGTACACTTGGCCGTACCTTGCTTATACCAACTTCACGCTTTTGACATATTCTCACATTCTTCCTTTACCTTCCGCACATGAACTTTTGCAGGTCGTGAAACTAAGGCTGTGCTCAATAACTCCGGGCGAAAGTTCAAACGAAGCAAGTTGGAGCGGCGAATTAACAAGGACGTCATCTGGTGTGTCCTCATTCTAGCGATTGTCTGCATCACTGGGGCTGTGGGTATGTACCACTGCATATCTCTTCAGACTCATTCTCGGTGTTTTTATCTTGAATTTAAAATACTCATTTTGAGGTTTTACTCATTTTGGGTTTTACTTTCTTGTTCACATCTGGCTGTTCTATTTGTCGTATTGTGACTGAATGCATATTAGGAAAGACCTCTAGTCCGAAGGAGCGGAAACTGAATGAAATTTTAATTATTTTATCACAAATATCAGTTATTGTGAGGCATACAGTACGTACTGTTAAGGGTCTTAAACCGGGTTATATACCGAGAGTAATCACAGGAGTCCAGTCAGAGTTTGGTGGCGGTCATGGTAGTGGTTGTGCCTTTGCTGTCACAGCCAGGTACACGTTCCGTTATCAGCAGAAAATAGAAAGAAACTGAAGGAGAAACTATAGTCAGCATAGAGTGACTGTGGTGGGACCTAATCAAGCGGGACAAGCGAGAAAGATTTCAGAGATTAAGGGATAATTTCAAGATTTAGTCCATGAATATACACAACCATAAGTTTTGGGTGATTTATTGGTCGTTCTTATTCAAGAATGCCTTTTAGTTTCCATCCGTGTGTATTTATCCGTGTTGTAACTGCCCAAGGCCGTGATCGAGAGAGTCGCCTCCCTGCTTATTGTGGGTAAATGCCGCATAGGGACCATGGCCGTACAAGTGGGGCTACAGCTCACTCCCCCTCCCAGGATCTGAACGGCGTGTAGTGGTAGGCGGTCGGGTAAACGGTGTGACGTTCCCACCAGTGCAAATTGCACAGTAGAAGACATCTATTTTCTCGGGAATTTTGAAGTTCTTATGGAACCGACTACATTATCTTAGGTAACTGAGGTGCCTGTTGTTATGAACTTGCCACAAGCCTCGATGATGTCCCTCTGCCAGTAGCTCGATCGAATCTCCCCAAAGTACAACTCAGCCACAAGGAAGAAAGCATAGAAGTGTATTGCCGTGAGCTAATAGCATATTTAAGGCCAAATAATAACATACGATTTAATAAAACACCGGACTGCAATCGGTTCAGTCCGATAGAGCCCTTGGAGGAGGGGGGAGAGGCGGTATCTCGAATAGCCTTCTGACTCATCTGAATGGTTGAGTAAAGCCCCAATCATGTCGGCAGCTTGCACAATATTACCACACACGCAGACATATCGATATTGCGGCCTTGGAACCAATGGTCAGTGTGGTATGCTAGCGAGTCGCTTAGGGTGGCTACTCCTACCACGGGTGGGGCTGAAGGTGGAGAGTTGAGTGTCACCAAAATCAATCGGTAATTTTAATTCATTGTAGTAGAAGAAAGAGCGTATCGAACGCAGCAAATCTCTATAGATAATGGACCAACTCAACGGCTTGGTTAGGAGTATCACTGGTTTTCGAATTCTGGGGTGTGTGGGGTGAAGGTACCTTTCTAATTCACATTTAAATTTCATAGTTAGGTAGGCTCAGAAGGACCTTAAATGCATAAAGCCACTAATCAGTCCTGATACCGACTGCGGTAGTCAGGCCCCTAAACAAGGATAAAATTGCTTTGTGGCATGCCTTAGCTAGGCTGCGGTGGATCTGTTAATCTTTATCTAGTTCCGCACATGCCTGTAGCTTGAATTAAATACAAACTCATCTGCAGAACAGGAAAGATATCCCTGAAGTCGTATTTCACGGTGAGGCCGAGAGTGATGCTTTTCTATGCATAACTGGTGCCGAACCATCCAGACAACTAATGCTATATTTTGACTGAAAAAACTGAGTCACGCAAAGGAGAGCCGCAAAGAGACAGGTGGTAATATCGCTGTGCCTTTATATCACCACGGACATTATCGGGCTTAGGAATCTTCGATATCTTGGTATAAAGTGCATACAGTTTCCTCACAACGGTGCCCTATATATACATTAGTCGTGCTGCATTGCTATGCAAACGATGTTCGTCGTGTATTCATGGGCACCTTAGATAGTAATTAAAATTTGTTCTCGTCAGATTCGAATTAACCGAAAATTAGATTTTCGAGCCCATGAAGGCTGGTTTCGTAAACTTTTTTTTTCACTTAGGCAAACGCCTTCTCCCAGAGTAACGCGCGCCTCTATGCTCGTGTGGTTTACGATAAGTATTAACATAGATAACCACTAGGATGCAACGGAAGCCAATTTTAACAGCATACCACCGCCTTATTTCATGAAGAAGTATGTTCGAGTCATATTCAGAGTGGAGAGAGAAAAATGCTATGGGCAGCGCATAGCCTATTTATTATAATGCCAAAAACACCCCCCCTAGCAGCTGAATTTCGCTGCGGTTATCTCAGTTTCGGTACTTGACAGAGTTCAGCAGGCAGATATTCCCCACAAAGCTAAAGTAGCTATGATTCGCCTTCCTTGAAGTTTTGAATATGTTGAACTAAAATGTCGGTCATAAAGATATTCTCCAAATTTTATCCCCGATAGGAGTAACTAACCTGATCCAATTTTTAACATCATTTCTTTTTCATCAAAATTGGTAAACTTGTAACAAGCCATCTCCTTCCCTTACTAGGTTGCTACATTTGGCTAAAGAGCTTCCCCAGTACCGAGGTTCCCTTTTTGGCGGGCCACATATCCGAAGACGCCTCCATTGAGGCATTTATCAACTTTTGGACCTTCATTATCATCTTCCAGGTACAGTTTCTCAGCATTTTCTAGATACGGCTTGCACGTAACTACACCGGACTATCACCCATCTACAATATACTCTGACAAGAGGCTGAGCGTGGTACCCGACGGTAGCTGACAATTGAGTCTAGACTGCTATCAGACAAACTTTACACACTGGTTCCAAATACTACAGGGAACTAGTTCGGCACATGCTGATGACGAATTCTTGTTGTATTAATGGCTGCAGTACTTAAGTCACTCAAAGTAAGATTGCAAAAATAAAGCTTGACTTAGCTACTGTGCCCTGGACATTTTAGTAGGTTTTCTAAAATTGTATTTAGTCTCCCTGAAAAGGCGAAAAATTATATTTTTCTGCGCACATCAGTCGTGCTAGTTTGCTATCTAATGGGCGTGTTTATTTTATCCCTGGACACTCCTTGATGTAATACGCGTCCTGAATTCATGTCTGCTTTAAATACAGTTGAGAAAACTCACCACTCGAACAACCTCTATACACCACTCGGTTCCTAGGTTTATTTCGAAACTGACTCCTAAAAACCACAAATGGTTCATTTTGAATTATGAGCCATGCCTTAGGAGTTTTTTCACTGTCTGCTCTTCTTGCTCAGTTACCCTGCTGGCTCATGTTAACTGACATCACCACGTAGGAGTGTATTACTTGAAACAAGCGAGTAGTCGCCTACAATTGTGTTAACGACCACTTTGAAATTTTCGGCTGTGCCGATGCATTTCTTAAACACTATGTACCAATAGGAAGTTCAAAGCCGTTTGCCTATATATCCTTTGATAAATTTGACTGGACTTGAATTAACTGTGCTCTTCTAGGATGGATGGATCTGCTTCTTCCTCTTTGTGATCATTTTGTGTGATCTCTCGTCTACGAAGTTACCACTTGACTATAGAGGAAAACTGTTTTAAGGATGCCCTACTCGATAAAATCGGTCGGCTGGAGGCATAATTGTCGTTGGGAATTAGGTATCTTCAATCTCTATTTGATTTACAAAATCAATGAAAAATGGATAAAAGTTTTATGATGACTGGCGTTGGTTGTTTGGTTGTTGGAAAGATGCTCAACCAAAAGCCAGAATGTAACTGCTGTCGAGTAAGTCGAAATGCATGCTCTCTGTGACTTACTATTGCAGTTGTTATAGCAGTTGATTCTGTCAACAGTTCGGAAGGCTCACCTCCTTCCGTAACTTGGTCTTCCTGGCATTGGCTGACGGGGTGACGTCTTCTTCCTATATTTATGCCTCCCATTCCTTGTCCTACAAAACACGCCTTTGTGCGCCCAAGTGGCCTCACGGCTTCATATCCCTTTCGAAGCCTTTTCGAGAGGACTTACTGTCAGAGCCAATGATCGCTGAGATGTCAACTTGAGGTTTATTTCTCAGCAATAGCCAGTCATATCGCAACCCAGATGGCGGTAATAAGTATTTAATGTCGTGTGTCAAACGTTGCTCCCGTGCAGCCGCAATATCTCCTTCTGTAACATTCCGCGATTCTTGGCTGGTTGGCGTTGCGCCCTCGGACTGTGAGCCATATTTGTAGGTTTCCTCAGTCTTAAGAGAAAATTCATAACTGAATTAAATCGATTGCTCTGGGTATGTGGCTAGAGAAGAAGCCTGAAACTCCGGATCAGAGGCTGTCTACTTCTTCGAATGCCGTTTCAGGTTTAATTTGGCTTGTGTGTGCTCGCCTGCTCCAAAGTCTAATTCAATGCGAGTGCATGTGCGCGCGCCTAATATATTATTCAGGTTCCACTTCCTTAAACACTCCTGATTGGCCGCTGACGTTTTTATCTTTTCATTGTACTTCAGAACATCATCCCCCTTCCGCTGTATGTGACCATCGAATTTGTCAAACTCGCCCAAGTCCGGTTCATCAGAAACGACATTGAGCTCTATGACGAGAAGACGAACAAATGCGTGGACGTGCGAGCATTTAACATTAACGAAGATCTCGGTCAAGTTGAGTATGTTTTCTGCGACAAGACTGGCACTTTGACGGAGAACAAGATGGAGTTCAAGCGGGCGGCAATCAACGGAGTTGATTATTGGACAGATGAAGGTAAGTTTCCCCGCCGTTTTTGTAAGCAAACTGACCAAGATAAAACGAAACTTGAGGAGGTCAATAAAACTGGCAAACCTCAGGTCCTTAGTTTCACGTCGACGTAAGCGACTTGGACGTAAGCGATATGGTCTTCTTCGTCCCTAATGCAGGCGGTCTTGCCTTTCAAAAGATATCTTCATATCTCTCGACACGAAAGAGTGCCCCAAATTTCGTCCGGACTCATTGTTTGTTGGGATCCAATATTACAAAGCCTGTGACGGCGAGTGTATTTAAAACCGATTTACGGTCGCCATGTCAGGGAGATCCAGTTAATCTATGCCCTTTTGCATTTGACAGTACATGCGCCAGTCCTACGTCACCTATCTCGTGATAGCACCGCCACTATTGATTTCTCACTGATTTTTCAACAGACGTAAAATGCTGCGTGTTTCACTTCTAGTCTTCACAGGCTGGTTTATCATCTGCCAACTGTGGGCACGACGGGTAATGAGAAGCAAGGATAACGCGTTGCCCGTTATCCTCGATTAAAGAAAGGTCGCTGACTTAGGATGTATAAACAGTGTATCGTACTTTCCTTCATAGCGACGTCGAGTCTAGTGCTTCTTCCATTTGGCGATGCGGTTAGGCTAATTTTGCCGACAACGCTGCCGGTCGCAGGTACCGTCCGCTTCCTCAGGCTCACTTTTATGGAACGAATTGACAACGTGAATCATCATTCATCTCGGCTGAAATTAGAACTCACCTCCGCCGCAGCGTCTGATTCCCAGATAAGAAATAGGTCTGACGATCTACTGACGCATCGTTCAAAGTGCACGCCTCCTGCAGCAGACGAAACGTCCTGCTTTCCGACTAGCTTACCCCCATAGACAAGGCGGAATAAAGCCCGGGGGAGGATGAGGGAGTGGCCACGAAATACCATTTTCCTTTTCGCCGCACAGCAAGTTCTTAATTTATCCTCCATCATTCTGACTTATTAACTGCTTTCGCCCGCATAATTGACTTTGCCTTAATTGCATTCATTCCGATGAATAAGATTAGACTTCGGACCGATTGAAATAACTTTATTCAGATACATGATTTGCACATTGCATGAACTGTTTGTACTGTTCAGTTGTGCTAACTTGTCTGAGACTTGGCCGTACTCTTGCCTGTTTTCATCTCGACATTAAGTGAGCAGATGCATTTCAGTTCATAAATCTCTCTCTTTCTTTTTCGTTTTAGCTGTCCCTTCGGAGGGCTCGGTCTTCGAGACAGAAGTTGCATGCGTGAGTGG